TTCTTAAGTGGGTTACAAGTACAAGTAGACTTTGCTATTTTGCATTGCACAAGGGACAGCAGAATAAATATTATTTATGATCCATCTCAGCATTTGGAGAGTTTCACAGTTTTACAAGCCCCTGTCTGCTTATCCTGGCCAGTGTAAACACACTGCTTTGAACGAATTGTGTGTGAGCCTTGAGCATTGAGCAGACAGCATGTTCAGACTCTCTCTTGAAGTAAAAGAAGGTAACAAGAAAAAACAGTTCTTCCAAAGCCCATCACAGCCATAATGCAGTTCTGAACATCCTCAGGAAATCCTAGTTCTAGCACAGTGAATGCATCTTTCACTGAGTGTGTATAGAATGAAATAACATTAGCAGCTGTAAGTGATAGGGCGGTAATACAAGTGTTTATAGACCCAGGAAGATACACAGACCAGAAAGATGCAGTGGGAAACTCATCATTTTATCTTCAAATGGACCCTGAAAAAACCTTGTCGCTTCCACCACCGCCAGCACAACCAGTACCGCAGGATGTGTCACTGCTACAGGACCTACCAGCTCATGAGCAGCAGGGGGAATGCATGGCAGGGTCTGACATGTGGCTGCCAAGCACACCTGGTGCTGTTGATCCAGTGCTGAGGATGTGAGGGGGACAATGGCTGGGGACTGGTGGTGATGGGAGGACAAGGCAGCATCTCACTGTGCCGGGCACTTGGCTGTGCTGTGCCAAATGCAGCAGGTTTCAAGGTGGGGTTTTGGTGTCTGCTTGTCTCTTGCTATGGTAGGAGGGTTAGAGCCATGTGGAGAGGAAAAAAGCCTTCCTGTGTAACAGAGATTGGGAAAAGAGCAAAGCTCTTTGGCTAATTTTTTCCCTTCCAGATTGGTGTATTATGAAGTCAAAGTCACGAGGCGGTCCTGCCTTGCATGTTCTCCTGCCTGTACTCGTATGGCATGGGGAGGAGAGGCTGGATGAGTGCCTCCCAGCCGGGCATGTTTCTGCTCCTTTCTGCATGGCAGCAAGTAAGGTCCTGGAGTAACTAACGTAGGAGTGCTGCAAACAACAAGAAAACCTCTCAAACTGCTCACTGGCACAGTGATGGAAGTTGTTCAGACTTAAGCACAAATCCCTTTAGTTAATGAAGACCTGATCACCACATGATTCTGACCTGCCCAAACTGGAAAACTATTTTAGATGAGGATAGAAATAAAAGCAATGCACCTACCACATATTTTGAAAGTATTCTAAAAGATGATGTTGAAGAAGGAGAGCTCCAGGGAGACATGTCTGTGAAAGACACGACGTGGAGGCTCAGGTTTCCTACAGCTGAGCTGACCTAAGGGCTGCCAGCAACTGCGTGTCCCCTGTGTGTGCTCACTGCGGCCCTTGTCTTGCTGCTGGTGCCCATAGAGACGTGTGGCAGCTGGTTCAGAAAGCCAAAGCATCACAGGCCTGACCTTGCCAAGCAATGTGAGCTGTTTCCTGATGCATTGGCTGGCCAGGCCTGCTTTAAAAAGTACTGTTTGACACTCTTCTTTAGTTGAAGCTCGTGATTATCTTGTAAGACTGACTGGCCTGTTTCCTATTCAGCTTTTCACTGGTTTCAGTTGTTGCCTCTCCTCCCTTGGTGTTAGCAAAGTGCTGTTCTTGTGAGGAGAACATCTCAGGGAGAATGCCTAAATCTCAGCACAGATGTCTTTTCATTATTGCAAGCATTGCTGTTAACATTGATGTTCATTCTGATAGGGATTTAATACACGCTGTAGCATCTGGTTCCTAAGTACCTGATGAGTCTGGGTTTGCTCTCCAGTCTGCAAACAGAATAATGCTCACACGGGGGAACGCTGTTTCTCAGGTCTTAAGCCCAAGTGGATGAAGGAGAGGAGGTGTCAGCCAAGCTGATGTGGATTGCTGGGACTATGGAGGGAAGGAGACAGCAGGGCATGGAATAGCACCACAGTGGAGGAAATGGGGCAGCAACCCTGGAGGGTTCCCAGGGTTGTTGGAAGCATTATCGAGGCTGTTTTCAGTGGGGCTGAACTGAACCATCTTCAGCACAGAAGCTGTGTAACAGCACAGCCAGAGGATGGCACAAGCTGTGTGTACTGTTTCTCATGAACATCCGGTAGTCACCCCTTGCCCATTGCACAGCTGGCTTGGCAAGGAAATTCTGCTGCAGCTTCTAATCTGAGACAGAACATTAAGCTCTGCAGGAAATTATTTGTTTTGCATTTGCTTATTTGTGAAATCAGTTGAGAAGGAGGTGACCTGTTGAGGTTCCTCTGCTGTTTCAGTGGTGCAGAGAGCGCTCAAGAGGTCTGTTAAGAAGTTGTTGTCCTCTTTCATGACATGTAGCTCACAGGCAGATATGCTGCAATTGCAATAGTATTTTGGGGTGTTGTTCTATACTGGCTTTCTGAAGGTTCCAGTTGCTATTCAGAAAGACCTAACTTCTCTCCAAAAAGCATCTGAGCAGCTAATCTAATATCAGCCTGAATCTCCCCTAGGCAGGTATGTTAGAGTTAGCCATTAATGCTACTTACCATTATTGCTCTTTTTTTACTGCTCTGGCTTCTATTTGCAGAGCTTTAGAACCCTGTGGGGTCCCTAATGGAGAGCACTGCTGGGGTGCTTCATCTGTATCCTGCCAATACTATCATCTAGTGAGTTTTCACTCATCTCATGGAGAAAAAGCAGAGCAGTCTTGCACATCAGCACTGGGTGCAGCCCTATGGAGATCAGTTATTTCCTTTCCAGGAATTATGTCCTATTTCTTTTTTATTTAGTCCTCTCACGTTGATCATTGTCACAGTAATACAGGCTGGTCTGGGAATTCCCTTTCATCAGAGTAAAAGTCCTAGGCATCCATTATGTCTTTAGTATTCCAATTTCCAGTAGCATTGGTGGGAGGCAACAGAGATCTTTCGATAGTTAGTTTTAGCAGTGAAGTAGTCACAGCAAATCAAACGGCAAATAAATGTAGACATGCCAAGAACTTATTAGTGCTTTGTGTGTTGTCTCTTAATGCAGCAAGGGACATTGCAATGGGACTGTGCAAAGGTATGATAAAAGGTCTGAGGATTTATATTAGCAAAGAAAATGCCTCCAACTCCTGTGTCCTTGTCCTGTGGAAAAGGCCACCTCTAAGTGTTGAATGCCATGGTGTATTCATCGGAAGTGTCATTACTAGCTGCAAAATATTTTCTAGCCTGTTCTTACTTACATCCCTGCTTCTGGCTTGGTTTGCTCTAAAAGTAGAGTTTACTTCTAATGTGTTGGAAATGGGGAAGCTTCAACTGCTGCTCACTCTCCTGTCTGCGCTCAGAAAAGCTGTGCACAGGCTCAGGCTGACTAGTTCAAACTGAGATGTGGAATGAGGACAGGTTTAGCTCCTCCACAGCTGAGCTCGTTGAGTCTACTGGGTTTTTCTAAGTGAAAATCACTTGGTCTCTGTGAAGCCTTTCAGTGTTAGGCTGGTCATCCATCCTCCTGGCTCTTCTCTACAGATTCTTTTCCTTTCCTCTTCTGCTCTGTGAGTACAATGCTGGTGTTTTATCAGTCCCCTGTCTTGGTAGTCAGTAAATGCTGTGTTATGATAAAGATTATGATAAACTCTGGCACAAAGCATAGAAATAAATGTAGGCATAGTGTATATAGGCTATTGTGGGAGAAATTAGTTTCTGTTCTGCTGGTTGGGAAAGAAAAGAAAAGGAGTCATGCATCTGTTTTATGTAGAAACATTCTTATCATCCTGTGGCATCATTTTATTCTCAGATGAAAAGCCATGGTTTTGTGCAGAAAAGTCTTTGTTACAGATGGCATTGTCCAAGTTAATCAAGTGATAATGGAAATAATTTAAAGTTTAGAAGTAAAATAATAAAACCATGGAAGATCTGTAAGTGTTTTGATAAGTTTCTTCAGTCTGTTGCACTGATAACTTACAACTGAGAAGCTGGAGCAAAGCAAGCAGTGATTTTGAACAGGTGTATGTCTGAAGTGACTTGGAATCCAAATCTTTGGGTGTATATGTAAAGAAAAGAATATGTAAAGAAGCAGGTATGTTCCTCTAGCCTAGCATGCTACATTTTAAGGAGCTTTAAAAATACTTCTCTCTACTGAGCATGCTTGATTTTAAGGTAGTTTTAAAATGTTTCTTTCAAAGGAGTCTTTGCCTTTGAGTGGTGTCTGTTGTAAGGTGTGCTGGAGCACAGAAAGTGTAGCATGGGAAACGTCTCCTGTTCAGTAGACCCAGCAGTTTCTAGTGTTTGCAAAGGTTAGAGCCTGTGGCATGTACTCATGCTGGGTATGTTTATGTTTCTGAGGAATCTGGTGAGTGTTCTGTGATTCTGTGAAGTGACATTCTGCTCCTGTGGGAATGGTAAAGGATTGGCCATGGGGCTTTCTGAATTTTCACAAAACCAGCAGTTCATTCTTGACATCTGCTGTGCTGAAGTGGCTGCCAAGTTGCGTTGGTAGTTAGCAAGGAAATAAATATTGATAGACCCTAGCAACAGGTACTCCTGAGAACTCTTGTTCTGGGAACGCTTAGCCCGTGTCCAGTGTTATTAATGTTGTGATAGCATTTCAAGTTTATTTATAGGATTTGTTTGTGTCTTATCGCCATCTCTCCGAACTGGAATGCATGAATGGGCTCTGCTGTGCAAGGGCATAGACATGTGTATCATACACCCTTCTCTGGTGACTCATTTTGACATATAACAGACACTTCCCTGTCCACATCTTTGGGGTAGTTGATGTAGATCCATGTACATATGACATCTCAAGTATGTGCTCATATCTACACTCCTGTATGTTTGCTCTCTATCCTATGTTGGAATAACTACTCCAGAGCAATGTACATGTATGAGAATGTCAGGCACAAGAATTTATTTCTTTTTAGTAGTACACTAACAAAACATTCATATTCCTCTGAGAATCCACCAGATAAAACTGACTTGCTTATATTGTGAAAGCACAACCCTTGTGAGCTCTGTAAATTAACAACTTTATGTTCTCATGGCAGAAATTGAAGCTAGAGAAGCCTGCGACTGGCTGAGAGCTGCCGGGTTCCCTCAGTATGCCCAGCTGTTTGAAGGTAGGTATGACCCCAAAGACTTGTTGAGCAGCTGACACTGAATTCAAGTGGAATTGTTTGCATGAATAGTATTTCAGAACCTGACACTTTTGATGGAAGAACTGCCAAATGCTGTTGTATCTTCATGCAAACCTGTAGACAAACAGTAACCTGGTGTGTGATCTCGCAGCAGTGACATGTTAGTGTGGAGTCAGTAGAATTCTGGAAAGGAACAAACCTTTCCTGGTTATTGTTAGGCTGCAACTCCATTGAATTTCTGCTATTGTGATTTTTAGAAGCTTCTAATTTTCTCAGGCTCTTTTCCTTGGAGTGCTGGGTGTTTTTACCAACTTCCTGATTGTAACCAAACCTCATCTAAGACTCTCCAGCCTTTGGTCTTGAGCAAGATTGTTTTACTGGTGTTTTGAAAAAGAATGTTCGAAAAATCATCTTGCAATCCCAAGTTTTATGGCAGACACTTAGAAGCAGCCAGCCATTCAAACAATGCAGTTTCAGCATGTTTTCATGTTGTTAAAGCTACAAGGAGTGTTTATTACTTGTGGGGGAGACACGGGTTTGTTGAAAGCTTGTGTAATTTTCAGGCAACTCTTGTGCCTATACCCTGAAACTGTTCTTCTTTAAAATATGTTTATTGTTACAAACATTGAGTGTAACAAAAGCTAATCTATTTTAAGAGCAATTTTATCAAAGAACCACAGTTAGAAGGACTAACGGGAACTCTGCCTGCCCTCCTTCCCTCCTCCCCTGAGCACTGCAAAATTAAAACCTGGAAGTCAAGTAATAGAGCCAAATTCGAAAGCTGTATCCTATGAAACATGATGTCTTATTGAAATTATTCCTGTCTGACTGCAGCAGGTTTTATTATAGGAACTGTCAATCTTACAGTTTGGAATTGTATATTGCCATACTTCTGAAACATGGCTCCTCTGTGTTATCTTGCTGCTTATGCAGTGTCCTGACCCGACCAGGTAAATTAAGCTTAAAAAGTAACCCATGAAAATACTGATAGATCTCCCTGGTTCCCTCATCTGCAAGGCTAAATCTCTTCAGCTGGTGTATCGATTAGCTCCAAGCGCAGCATGATTTGTCAGGCTCACTACAGCTCAAAGAGCATGTGTCGTGTGCTGCATTGTACCTTGACATCAGCAAAAGCTCATGTAAAATGCTCCTAGTTTTATACTATACTGGAAAGCAGAAGGTGCAGACAACCTTCACCAAAGCAAAGAAATACTTCTGTATTTCTTGACTATAGTACCTAGTCACTGTAAGCTCCTGGGAATGCAGCAAATGCTTGTCTAGCTGTAACTAACAACAGCAAGCAGATATCTACAGTTACTCTGCCACTTGTAGTAAGGAACTGATCCTCACTTACTTGAATGACATTTGTCTGGATAAACAGTTATAAAAATGGATTTCTATTTATTTCACCTGTGATAAATGTGTCACAATTCAAAGTCTTTGCAATTAGAACTCAGATTTCTGCTTCACCTTCTTTGTTTACAGATATGCAGTTTCCTATTGATGTAAGAACTGTGAGGAAAGATCATGAATTTTTAGATGGAGATGCCATTGACTCACTATTCAGGTAAACAGTAATTATGAACCATCTTTAACACCTCCAGGCTCCATAGTTATTTGCCATTCATCTTTTCATGCCTTAGTTTTTGTCAGACTAACACGGTCACCAATGCTGCAACTGAAGGAAATCCCTTAAGCACAAACTTTAGTGTCACTGAAGTTGCTTGTTTTCAGAATTGAAAAGTAAAGGAAGCACGTGCCTGCATGTCGGCTTCAGCCAAGGTCTTAATGACATTTTACAAAGCATTAAATCATTAAAGCTCATCATGTGGTTTTTAATTAACTAGTTAATTATGGTCTTCTTCTCCAATTTTAAGATGGCAGAACTGGAACCGTGAACATCATGGGGCTGTTTTTGTTAGTTGGCACTGGTTTTGGCAAAATGTATGGAAAGCCTCTATCAGAATGTCAGTCTTTGAGAGCAGGAATCAGGACTCTGGGGTAGAATTCACAGCGTATTTGGTGCAGGTTTGTTTTCAAGAAATGAAATAGTTTCAATTTAAAATGTCTCTCTTCTATCTTGTACCCTAGACGGCTGAACACGCTGAACAAATGCGCATCACTGAAAGTGGAGATAAGATGCCAGAGGAAACAGGTATGTTTTTAAAATACAGTTCATTTTCTCGTTAAAAATGTGGTTAGCATTATATCAAAGACCTGGTTTAGAAGGTGTTTGAGAGATTCACATTTTCTGAAGTTTCTGTTCTCTTCTGTCCTACAAAGCATTTGCGTTTTCTGCTGAAAAACGTAGTGATGGAGATTGAAACGGTGTGGTGTTCATTTGTAACTTTGTGAGGGAGGTTAGGTGTGGGGTTTGAAGCAGCCTTGACACGTAATTACGGTCAATAATTGCACCAAGGCCCCACCTCAGCGTGTCTTTTGTTGCTTTCCTAAGTAGTTTCACATCATATTTAAGGCCTGAAAGTGAAATTTCACTCTTGCTGACTAAAAAAAGGATAAGAAATTAAAATCGAGAATCCAAATAGTGTCAGCCAATGTCAAATGTCCAGCCAATAGGTGTGAGCAAGGTTTTAGCTGTGCTGGTTTTGTCCTTTCCTGCAAGTACTATAGCTAAAACAGAGTTAGAGCTACATCTTGGCTGGTTAATGCCAGGATTGGAAAGCCTCTTAGATCCCATGGATTAACTGCAGGACCAGCAAGAAAATATGTCTTCTTTGGGAAAAATGTCCAGTTTTTTGGAAAGTTTCACTCTGCCATCAGGGAAGAATGGGGCAGGAGAGGGTCCACAGAGGAGACACAGGTCGTTCCTACCTCTCTAAGAGTCACTTGGAATGGGGACAGCACAAGAAGCACCTGGCGCAAGTGGCCAGTGAGGCTGAGGTCTCCAGGAGGGTGCACCAGCTATCAATGCTGCCACAGTCCCACAGCCAAAGGCTTCTTTACTTGAAAACGGGGTGAGTTTTGGTCACAGAAGCATGAAAGAGCGTTCGATTTGTTTGGCTTTAGGAAAGGCCACATAAACTCAATACAATTATCTTTCAAAACCTTTGGATTTGGCACAAAAGAGGATTTGTCATCCTCAGATCAATCCTGTCATCTTTCCCTGGGGTGAATTTATCAGATTGGTCAGCATGCTTGGGAATGATTTATCAGCATGTTTTTCAACTAACAGCACAGAACTCAGGGCAGACCCTCAGTAACTGAATGGTGACATTTCCATATGCTGCTCTCAGGGGTTTGGAGGTAGGCAGAAAATGTAAACTCCTTTTTTGTTACGTTTTTCGGTAATTTAAAGTTAGCCAAACTTTGCCCTTGAACTCTACTTTCTTTTTTTCTTTTCCTTCTAAGAGTGATGACTCTGAAGATGATGAACCTTGTGCAATAAGTAACAAATGGGCTTATGAGAGGTGCAGTCAGAGATGGTCTCGTATTGAGAGCATAGAAGGTTTCCCTGGAGAGGAAGGTGCTAGTGTGTCGGTCCCAGGCAGTCCAATACTGAAGAGCACCAGCAATGAGGATACTGCCTTTCTGGATCCTGTTGAGAAACATGATGTGTCCTCAGTTCACAGTGCTAGCAGTGGTGACAGTGACACTGTTAGCTTCCCAAAACCTTCTGAAGATGTGGAAACTAGCACGAGTTCATCAAGATGTTCCTCACTTAAGGTGGCCTCACTGGAGTCTACTTTTAGTTGTTCCCTTTCCCCCAGTGAATTTTTAAGTACCATCAGTGAGGAGAAGCTTTTGGATAAGTCACCATATAAAAAGAGGAAGAGCCTTTTAAAGAAAATGGAGAAGTTGCATTTAAGGAGCTGCAACTTAAGGAGTGGTCAGTCAAAGGCCAAACCCATAATAAGTGAACCTGTTCTTCTGGAAGGACTTAATGAAGAGAAGATGAAGATGCTGAATTGTGTAAATATTTCTGACCTCTCTGGCATCCAAATAAAGAATAATTCTTCTTTTTCTCCCAAGAGTTTCAATAGCAGCAATCAGTCTGAAAACAGCAGCACAGTGAGTGCTCAAAGTCCTGTTATAAACCCACACAGCCACTGTGAAGGAAGGGAGGTATATGCAGAGGACTTGGATTCCAGCAAGCTCTTGCTGTGGAATGATCTATCTCAGCAAAACCTCAAAAATGACATGAAGTTGCAAATGAACCAGATGTTTCAAATACCACAAGGCCATAAACCTGGCACCTTCCCCATAGCACTTACAAGCAGCTCCCTGGCTCCCGTAGATAACTCTTCCGTCAACTGGAGAACTGGGAGTTTTCATGGGTGCAGGAGGAGCCAGAGCAGAAGCAGTTCCAAGGACTCCAAAGTCCCCAGGAGTCACCTTTCCTGTGCAGATAACAGGCTGAGCATATATGACAACATGCCTACCATTGAACTTGATAATTTGGAAGCAGCACAAGCTGGTGATGATGATGTATTTTCAGAACTGAACAATGTTATAGAAGATGTCAATGGTCTCAAACAATTGGTTGCTCAGTGGACAGAGAAGTTCTCAGATGACGGGGATTCAGACTTTGCCAGTGACTCGAGCTCGTTGTTTCCCTCTTCATCTAAAGGAATCTGCCTTGAAACAGGTGGCTCAGAAGATAAGAGAGCAGAGCTCCCAGCCACTGGGGGAGAAAGCTGCTGGGAACCGGACAAAGAGACCAGTTCTGCAGGCCTGGCACATGTGGCAGGCTCTAGAAAGATCAGCAGGTCAGCCCTCATGGGTTTCCCTAGTAGAATGGCCCTTTGATTCTCTCCACTCAAAATGTAATTGCTTTTCCAGAACAAAGTACTCCCAAGGAAGTCTGTTCTGGGTAGCAGGGTCTTGCACTGCTGGTGCCAGGGATTGATGGTCTGTAGGCACTCTGGTGCCTACATCTGCTCTGACCTCTGCTGAAAGGAGGGTGCTCATAATCTGTGTGAGCATTTGCCCATTTGGGATCAGACTCTATGGCTGTCTTGATGCATTTCTTATTGAAGCACTTTGTACCTCCTCAATGAGAAGCACTTGGTTAAATGAACTCACTATGAGGTGCTTGGGAACTGCAGGTCATTTAGAGTTAGGTGCTTCACAGATGCAGGCAGAAAACTAACAGGGACAGTGGGAATAGTCCTAAGCTTAAAGAGTATTTATCCTGCAGGCACGGGAAGCAGCACTGGTCTGTGGAAGAGAGTGTGAACCTGGGAAGCCTTTCCTACGGAATGAGAACCAGTCAGCAGCCCAGCTAGCCCGAACACAAAAACTGGCTTTGCTGAAACTCACCGCCTTGATGGACAGATACTCCCCTTCCAGTAAGCAAGGCTGGAACTGGTAAGTTGTCTAATACCTGTGTGGGAAAGAGAGGATTTGATGTAAGCAAGTGGATTTCCGTGTCTGCCTGGTTTACATGTGTTCAACAGGAGGAATTTAATCCTGTTAAATCACTGGCAGTTCCAGGGTTGTTTCAATGGCTCCAGGGTTTCCTCTGCTATGGACTGTGCTTTTGCTTCTCCCTGGTGGTCATACTCTTACTGGCTTTAAAGCATGTTATATTCTCTCTAAATTTTGAGCCCTATTTGCAGAGATCCTTCACAGTGATTGCAGGACCTGAGGTGAGAGCAGCCTGGGCTGAGAATCTTGTGATAGGGATCTGCTACTTGAATATAGAAAGAAGTGAAGAAGCCTGCAGTGTCCTAGAGGGGTGGAATGTATTTCACATGAGGATGCTTTATTAAAGCTGATTTCTATTTTGAAGTAAGGAAGTCATTCCTGTAATTGCCCTTAATGATTTTCTCTTACAATGCTATGTATACAGGTAGGTATGGAGCAGAATGTGAGGTTGAAATCCTTTCCTATGCATATAACTGGAGCAGCAGGTAGAACCGTGCTGGAAAGGTGATGTGTTGCTTGCACTGGTTTTTATTTTCAGGACTATACCAAGGTTCATCAAAAAAATAAAAGCCTCTGACTACAAGGACAAGAATGTTTTTGGGGTTCCTTTACTCCTGAATGTCCAGAGAACAAGCCACCCACTGCCTAATGGCATACTCCAAGCACTGGACTATCTGAGAAGCCACTTCCTTGACCAGGTATGGACCTGAGGCAGCACAGAGCAGCTCTGTTCCAAGTGGATCCTGCTCCAGGAACCATTCTCTGCTTCCAGCTTTTGTGTAGGACTTTCTTGCCTCCCAAGGCTCTGAACAGGCAGAAAGGTGTAGGCAATACCAGTGCTGTTTCCTTCTGGGAATACCTTTAGTCCTGTATTGTACTTGTGTGCATGGCAGTGGAAGTGTGTGCTGCAGATGCTGTTTCCATAGCAGATCTGCAGGAATGGGAGTTTGTTTCCTCCAGCATGGGCATCATGTACGTTTTCTGTTGGATGAACACACACTGGTGCATCAGAAGCCTGCAGTTCTCGTGCCTGCTGAGGCATACTAATATGTGCCAATAGCGATGATTTGAAAAGTCAGAAGAGTAATTTTGATTTAAATAAAAAGCAGCAAACGTGACAATTGGTGTGTCTTTTACAGCTGGTTCTGTGGGCATCAGCCATGGTTTGCCATGTGCTGCTTCTAATGGGACAAAACTATTTTGGTGTTAGATCCCACTTCCACAGGGTCTTAGCTGTTGAAAGGAAAGTGAAGGATCAATTATTTGTCAGAGGTTTGATTCCCAATGCCTCCTCTCTTCATCTGAAATAGTTCCTTTTACCCACAGGTTGGCCTGTTCCGAAAATCCGGTGTTAAATCCAGGATTCTGTCTTTAAGAGAAATGAATGAAACCAGCCCAAACAACGTGTGTTATGAAGGACAGTCAGCATTTGATGTGGCAGATATGGTGAAGCAGTATTTCCGAGACCTTCCTGAGCCCATCTTCACCAGCAGACTCTGCGAATCCTTCCTCCACATCTACCAATGTAGGTAACAAAAGCTGTGGTTTTCCAATTCCTTTAAAACCTTAATATTCAGCTGTACAAGGCAGTGGTTGGAGCAGAATTAGTGCCATGTCCCCTGTGGTATTGGAGACAATTGAGGCATGATGTTTCTGAGGTGAGCTCATTGTGGCTCTGGGCTGAAGAGCTGCACATCTGCATCCTATGGGCCAGCTGTCTTCTAACACTCTTTTCTGTGCTTTGAGGGATGAGTGTGATACCCTATGTCACAGCAGCCTCCTAAACTGTGCTTTAAAATGGCCATTTCCTCATGCAAAATCAGGAAAGAATCTAGTTCCCTTGTTCATGGTATGAAGTGTCTCCTTGTGCAAGAAGTCATGTTATTCCTTTATTAAGGTTGCTGTGAAACAGCCCCTTTGCTTGGACATGCCAGCAGCCTTCTACTTGTGCTCCCACTGTTACTGTCCTTGAGACTCAGCCTGACAAAGAGGGAAAGGTGAAGCTGAAATCTGGCTTTGATCATAGAATTAAGCAGGTTCAGCCTCCTCCTCAAGGAATTCACTTTCCAGAAGCAGCTGGGTTGGGGAAGGAAATCACTGTGGGGGCTCATGATGATGTTGTCTGTGCTTTCTGCACGGACTAGTTTTGAGCCTGGTTTCTTTTTGCATTCACAAATCCTTTTTGTAAAGGGGTCCACAATTCCTTCGTCCAATGGACACAGAACTGTTTAATTCCATTTAATAATAAAAAAAACTGGCCACTGTCCACCTCCTGACTTGTTCTGGGATAGAAACAGCAAATGTCTGAAATCTACTCACCCATCTTCTGCCACATCTGGCATTTGGAGATAAAAAACATGCTGCTTTCATCAAGAAATGTGTTTTGTGTGTCCTACG